GTGCAGCCATGCCCAGGTTCTTGGCACAATTGCAAATGCTCAGCGCTCAGCAAACTCTTGCGGGCCTGGCTTCGCCTGCTTCACCGCGGAGCTTTTGCACACATCCGACCTCAGTTTTGGCAATAACATGCTACCCAAGCCGCCCTAGTCGCGCCAGAGCCTTCGCAATCGACCATGTCAAAAGTCAGAAATATCTAAGCCGCGCGCTGGCGCATCATCCCAACAAGGGATGGGTGATGCGATGGAAGCATGCCGCGTCGTGGGCACTGCGAAGGTGAGCTACATGCTAAGAACAAGCAGCACGCTGCGAGGTTGCGGAAGAGAAATCTCATGCTCCCGCAAGGCATATCAAGAACAGGATGATGTACACGGGGCCTTTGCGGAGTTCCACGTTAGNNCAGCTCGATCCAGCTCGCCACTCGCCAGATCTGAACGGGCGTCATTTTTCCACGTGTCCGGCGTCCAGACTGGAATGACTGGAACAGGGCTTCGCAGCCACCACCGCTGGAGAATCGGAAACCAGGAAACAAGGTGGAACTTCAGCGCCAGGGGCGCCAGTGCAGTCCTTGGATGAAAGCAGGCCAAATAAGGTGAGGCTTCCACACACTAGTCTTGAAAGGAACTGAGAGCAGCCCTCTGATCCCACGCCGGGAGGCTGAGGAGCGACATTCCTGCCATGAGCTTTGGGTCCAGGAAGGACTCTGGAAGATTGCTCCTTGTCGCAGACAGCTTCAGACTACTGTGTTCTCGCCGCAAAGCCTGACGCAGGCTACGAATCCAATCACACCAAGTCTCAGTGTCGTTGGCACCAAGTTAGAGCTCTCCTTCAGGGGCCCATGTGAATGAAGCAACAAGCAAGATGCGCGGCACGCCCTCGGCTACGCAAAGTCTGGTCCTTGACCTTCACCGCTTCATCAATCGCACACTCCTTCAGGCACAGACGTCTCTCACCAATGCAGACAGATACTTGCCAGCTGAAAACTCTTCTGAGCAATCGGCATCTTCAGAGCTTGAGAGGGATGGGGATGCACCCTCCTCCATGCATGGATTTGTTGAAGGAAACTTCAAGAGAGGCAACGCAGCGAATCGTCCTTCCCCTCGCTGGTGGGAGTGAGCAAGGATGGCTCCTGCAGAGAGCCCAGCATAAGATTTCGACTGCAAATGAGTGCAAGAACTGGGGGATGGCTAGTCCTCGTCGGTCTCAGATTTGGATCGTTCCTCGAGGGCCCCCGAAAAAACATCATACAGGAGTTCGAACTGCAACCCTAGGACATGCTCTGCCATGCGTGGGTCCTCAGCTTCTTTCTGCTTCTTCTGCTTTGCCGCTTCCGCTTCGAAGATCTTCGTGCATTCCACGAGGCGCTCGAGG